TTAGCCAAAAATGAACCAGAGCCTAAAGATTTTGAGATTCTCAGCCTGTCCATGTTGCAAAAAATAAGAAAACATGTTCAGAAGAGAATAAGGGTACAGCTGACCTACCATTTGATAAGGAGATTAGTGTGGGTGTGAAGCATGGACCTAACCAGTCATCTCAACAGAGATGGCCAGGAACAGAGATGGGATGACACCAACAGAAACACTGCCAGCTGACACTAAGGGCAACAGAGGCCGGGTGCAGTAGCTCACGCCCGTAATCCCAGCACTTTGAGAGGCCAAGGTGGGAAGATCACTTGAACCTGGGAGTTTGAGACAAGCATGGGCAACATAGGAGGTGGGGCCACCCAGGCCAACCTATGGGAGTGACTTTGCCACCCCAGTGGTTCTGGAAGGTGAGACCACTGCTCCAGTGAGTCTGGAGGGCAGAGCATCAAACCAAAAAAGATTAATCTTAAGCCATAAACCCTACTGTGATTTGCTTTACTATGTTTTGAAACTGCTTGGGACCCATCATCCCTTCTTTTCCTCTGCTCGCTCCCTTTTGGCATGAGGATGTCTTGCCTGTCACAGCATTGTATTTTGGAAGCACATAACTTATGTGGTCTCATAGATTCACAGGTGAGAGAAATTTTGCCCCAGGATGAATTGTATTAAAGGAAGGATATCTTAAGCGTAAGAGTCCCTAAATGCTTTCTGAGCTGGATATTAAGGGATGAATAGCAGTTAGCTATGTGAAGAGGAGGGGAGAGAATCCCAGGTGCAGGGAACAGCCTGTGACAAGGCCTGGAGATGACAAGAGGCCACGGCAAATTCCTGGAAATGAGAACAGGTGGGTATAGCCAAACCCTATGGGTGGGGCATGGAGTGGAAGAGAAGGAGATGGGGAGAGACGAGATTGCAGAGGAACCAGAGCCCAAATCCTTAAAGACCTTGTACTTCATGTTGAAGAAATCGGACTTTCTTCTGAGAGCAATGGGGAGCCAGTTTCAGGTAGGGAGTAACATAATTCGATTTCTATTTGAAAAAACCCACTCTAGCTGTGGGGTATAGAAATGATTGCGGGTGGGGCTGGGCATGGTGGCTCATGCCTGTAATCCCAGCACTTTGGGAGGCTGAGGCAGGTGGATCACTCAAGGTTGGGAGTTTGACACCAGCCTGACCAACATGGAGAAACCCTGTCTCTACTAAAAAATACAAAATTAGCCAGGTATATACCTGTAATGTAATCCCAGCTACTCAGGAGGCTGAGGCAGGAGAATCCCTTGAACCCAGGAGGTAGAAGTTGTGGTGAGCCGAGACAGCACCTTGTACTCCCGCCTGAGCAACAAGATAGCAAGAGTGAAACTCTGTCTTAAAAAAAAAAAAAGAAAAAAAGAAAAAGAAAATTAAAAAAAAAGAAATGATTGCAGGTGGGCTAAATAGGAGGCAGAGGGAGAGGCAGGGGAGAGCAGCAGGGCAGGCATCTGTGGCTGTGGGCGTGGCCCACGTGGGACGTCCAGTGGTCCAGACTGGGGAGGTGGCAATGGGGATGGAAAGAAGTGGCCGGGGACCCGAAACTTGTAGATAGTTGAATCTACAGGATGCGGTGACTGATTGGATGTGAGGGATGAATAAGAAGAAGTCCAAGATTCTGACCCGGATTTCTGGTTCAGACACCCAGATGGTTTGTGTCACTGTTCCCTGAGATCACAGCCACATAAAAACCAACAGGTTTGAAGGGGAAGATGAAGGTTCTGCTCAAGAATGAGTACGTTTAAAATGAGTGTGGGGCAACCAGGAGAAAATACCTAATGGCAGTGTAAGAGTCCCAAGCTCAGAAAAGACCTGGAGACAGAGGCACAAGCTTGGGTCTAAATCAGCAATTGAAAAGTCTTCTTTGAGAACTGTCTTTGTGCCAGACACTGTTTTAGACGGCTGTGCTACCACAGCAGACAAAACACACTAAAGTTCTTGGGTCCCCATGGGGCTTATTTCCATAGAAATGGTAAGTGAAGATCTGCAACAAGTAGGCCTCTTTACCCAGACAGGGCAGCGACAGAAAAGAACTGAGCTAAGAATACTGGGAAGCACTAGAAAGTAAAGGATGTGCCGAAGAAAGGAATCTGGAAAATAGACTGATGGCCCTGAAAACTGCCAGATTCAAGACGGAGTAGGGGCGACTGGGTCAGGGCAGGGCCCCGTGTGGGACGGAGAGAGAGCTAAGGCAGGGTGGTCTTAGGATTCGGGAGTCCTGAATGCTTGAATGCCACTGGAAAGAGCCTGGTGGGGAGAATGGGTGCAGATACAGGAGCTGGTGCTAGAGCAGAAGGTTAATTTGGAGCAGAAGTGGGGAGGTGCAGAGTAAGACAGGAGGCAGGAGGCAAGCCCCACCCACTGCACTAGAACACGGGGAAAGGGAAGAGGATGTGTGGATGCAGAAAGTTAGCAAGACGTTGGAGAAGTGCTTATCTGACAGCACCTGTTCCCACTATTGGGGACAAGGTTATCTGCCTACAGTAAATGAGAGTGGAGTGGAAGTCTGAGAAAAATGGACAAGGTTGAAAGACACCATGGTGAATGGGGAGAGCAAGCTGAGAAGCCAAGGGGAGCTGCTGGGAGGCACTGGGTTGGGAGCCTCACTGGCCGGTCGGATGAATGAAGGGCAATGTACTGAGGAATAGCAGTGTTTAAACAATGGATTTGAGTCAGTAGAATGTTGCTGGCAGTCAATGCTGTGGGCTTTTGTGTCAAGTAACTGGGGCTCAAATCCCGTCTGAGCTTCTCAGGTGTGTGCACCATACAAGTCACGGTAAGTGAGTGGAGAAAGGCGCAGATTAAATGAAAAAGGGAACTTGTTATATAAAAACTGTTGGGCCAGGTGTGGTGGCTCACATCTGCAATCCCAGCACCTTGAGAGGCCGAGGTGGGCAGATTACCTGAGCTCAGGAGTTTGAGACCTGCCTGACCAACATGGTGAAACCCCATCTCTAGTAAAACTACAAAACTTAGCTGGGCATGGTGGTGCACATCTGTAGTCCCAGCTACTCGGGAGGCTGAGGCATGAGGACCTTTAGAACCCAGGAGGCAGAGGTTGCAGTGAGCCGAGATTGCACCACTGCACTCCAGACTGGGTGACCGAGTGAGACTCCGTCTCCAAAAACAAAACAAACAAAACAAAAAAGCAAACTGTTGAAGCTAAGAGCCACTTGCAGTTCGGTGATCACTTGGACATATATTTTTAAATTTCTAAAATAAAAAGAAAAGACAAATCCTCCAGAGCCCCTATTACCCAGATGACACCCAATCTTGCAGAGCACAGCCATTCCTGGTCACATCAAGCTACTTGACCTTTCCTGCCAGGCACCAACTGCGCTCTGTGGGGGTGTGCTTGTACGCGTGCATGCTCTTCCCTCAGCCTTGGGGACACCCCTCATCACCTCCATCATCACAACTGTTGATGGCCTTGTGCTGGCCCCTCCTCCCAGAGTGGAGAACACCCCTGGAAACCCTCTGTGATGCTGCCCAGCCTTCCTGTCTGGTCGCCCATGTTAACCAGAGCCAACCCACCATGCCTTGAATGCAGCTTCAGTCCCCTAGGCATCCTCTCCTCTGGCCAACCCTTCTGTAATGCTCCCCAGTGTGGCTGCCTCACCTGCCAGAAGCCTCCTGACTCAGGCTGGACCGATACAGCCTTGTCTTGCACTTCCCAGGCCTCTCATTTCCCATGACCCTGCGGTTCTGCTCAGACCTGGAACCGCACCACCCTGCTGAGGGTCTCGGCAGGGGCTTGGGAAACTGTGCTGCATAATTTGAGTTTAGTTCAACAGGCTGACTTCACCTCACATTTAGCTGCTGTCTTGATTTTTTCCTTTCTGTTCCCTGCTTCTGGAGATTCCAGTTGAACAAACCATGCTGGGGTTTAAGAGTGGGAAAGCTGGGGGGTGAAGGGGCAAATGCCCCTCCCCCTGGCTGGTTCAGAAGCTCATCTTTCCAGGAACTTGGGGCAGAAGCCACCTGGGTCCCCTGTAGGCCGTGAGCTCACACCTTCCTGTGCACCCAGTCAGCCACTGAAAATCAAATCTCATCTCGGCTCTGGGCATTTCTCTGTAATGATTCTCAGCAGAAGAACGATAAACCTTACACAGGCCAGGAGGAGTGAAACCCAGTAGGAGAGAAGCCGGTTAAGTCAACCTTCTATTATTAAACGTTCTTATTTAGTAACTGCCGTCCTGGCCCTAACACCACTTCCTGCAGGCAGGGTCGCTGCTTATGTTTCTCGCAAACCCAGGCTGTTTGTTAGTGCAGAGGTTCCCTAGGCCGGCCTGCTCCAGCCGCCTGCACCCTGGTGTCACTGCCTGGGAATGAGCTGTGCCCCCACCGGGCCCAGTCCTAAGGGGCACCCAGCCAGGGGCAGCAGAGCCCCTCCAGTGACGGTGCCGCAGGGTACAGAAGACGCACCACCTGCTGTCAGCTGAGGAGGAGGTATATCTGGAGCCTTGGAAGGAGGTCAGGGGACAGGGGAGTGGGGGCGCTGGCTGTGCAGAAATGAACGGGGTGGGCCGCCGTGCTCAGGGCACACTGGTTCTGGACACAGTGAGATGTCCAGGAGATACTATGGTAGCAATCTCCACTTGTTTGGCAAAATATGTTAGGAAAATTACCCAAATGCCAAAGGGGAGGAAGAACCACCTCAGCGGCCAACCGTTTGTTTCTGAGAGAAAACACTATTTTAATTAGGACTAGCTTTAAGGCCTTTCATTCATATACACATCCGGTTAGATTTCAAACAGCAAAGAGGTAATCAAATCAGCTCATCTGGTCTGAAATTTTAACAGGACTGCTAAATGTTACAAAAAAATAACCCAGCGTTGACGTCCTCGGCACTGTGCGTCCATGTGGCTGAAGGCTGGGCCTCCTGGGGTCCGCCTGCCCTGAGCAGCGTGCACGCACCTGCCTACCCCACCTGCCTGGGATGGGCATGGCCACAGGCACCCTTCCCAGAACCGCAACTCATGTTAGGTTTGGCACATAAATTTTATTTGACTTTCACATTGACACATTCAGGAAACCATTCTGAGAAAAGGAAGGTGGAGGCCGCCTTGAAGCAAAGCCTGGCTCCCTCCTCCACCCTGGGCTCAGGAGCACTGTACAGTCTCGGGCTGGCACATACCACAGGAAACTGTCCCGGGTCTCAGCGGCCCTGGCTGTGGATGGCATCTGAAACAGTCGCTGTGGCTCTCCCTGCACCAGGGCCTACGTCGTTGCCAGGAATCGGCGCTGCTGGAGGCTACCTGGGCCCCAGGTTTTATTGCTGGTGAACTTGGTCACCCACCTTCCAGTCACACGGTCCAGGATGGTGGCGTGATCAGAATGGCTCTGGTGGTGCCCATTTTGCTGAGATGAAAGGAATCGATATGTGTAAACTACACTGAATTCTGTGATGCTGGCAAGTTGCCCCTGCTAGTCTTCAGCCCCAAGGGGAGAGCTCCCTGGAGGAGACAGCTGGAGGCTCACTGCTGACCACCCAGGCAAGGCAAGTCAGAACTGATGTGCCCGAATCTAAAGTAGCCTGAGCTCCAAGCCTAACCAGCCCTCCCATTCCTGGGCCATGTCCCTTGTAAGGCCCCCAAAGACATCCCCTTCTCAGGTAGAAAAAGCCTCCCCTCAATTCACTTTTTAAAATCGTATTTCTTGTGCCAAATGAAGTGGGCGCCTGGCAGACAGGTTCAGAAGTATGGACGAGCATTACACGGGTTATGGATTCTGAAAAGATGGACCCCTGGACACCACACCACCATCTGGCCATCGATGAGTGTCCACAAGAACAAAACAGTCACAGAAAGAATGCTTTGCCTCTACAATCACAGCAGCACCAAAACGAAGGCCAGAGGTGTCGTTTTACGCCTCAGATCTGATGCTGCATGCGTCTCTGATTTTGGCAGTCCCCTTGCTTCTCTGTCCCTCCTCAGAGTGCTGGGTGCTGTTCCTGTGACCCACCAGTGACAGGTGAGGCCACCCCCGACTGGCCAGGAGAGCCTCGGGGGCATCCCCTTTCTTGTCACCTGAGGGAAATGGCTCCTAAGCCTGTGTAATGCTTCCTCCCTGCTGGGCTCTCAAACTTTTCTACCCTCTGAGGTGCGCAAAGGCCAGCGACAACCTAACGACGATGGCAGGGGTGGGGGCAGGTCCTCAGAGCATCTTACATCCAAACTAAGTCCTAACAGTCGGGGTCTTGTGTCATATGCTGAGGCACTCACAGGCACATGGGAGACCTCAGGCATCCTAAAAGGAGGGATGTGGTGGAGGAAGGGTCATTTCTGGGCTCAGATCTCCACCTGGTTAGCCCCGGGACTAACAAAGATATCTGCATAGGTCTTATGCATTAGTTTAGCAAAAAATCTGGTTTCTGGTACCCAAAGAGCTTAAAGTCCCCTTCGAAACGTGCATATAGGCGTCGGATGTCTCGTTTGCTGATGCCCAGGAAATAGCGTTCCACCTTGGTTCTGTTATACACGGTAATGCCTGGAGGAATGGTCGGGTATGACACCAGGTGGTCAATGCCAGCTTCTTTTAAGATGTATGGAGCATCATCCTCCAGGGTCTCATGGTGTCCAATCACACTGTACATTATCTCACAGGGAGCGCAGAGCTCTACATACGTCACCCAGTGAATGATGTGGTCCCCAAACTGAAGGTCTAGCCATCTGTGGTTCGGATCGCCCAGGTAGCGCACAAAATCTTCAAATTGGATCCCTCGGGTCTCCGTTCGGTTCCTCCTGTATTTTCTGATGATGCCAGGGGCAATCTCATGCCTGTACCAAGGCTCAAACCGGGGATTGTGAACAAATTTATCCTTAAATGCAGAAATGAGTCTTTCGAAGGGATCTCTTACAATAAAAAACTTGAAGTATGTTTTCAATCTGAGGAAAAAAATGAACAAGAGGTTAACTTGCCGCCACAGGAGGTCACAGCAGAGAGGGATGGCGGGAGAGGGAGGAGTGACAGCAGTGCAGCACTGTGTATGGGCCCCTCACGGGCCGCGCCTGCTGGGAACGCATTCCACGTGTCTCTTACTTAATCTACTTCAAGATCCTGAGGATGAATCCTATTAGCCCACTTTGCAGGTGAGGAAATGGAGGTTTGGAAAACCTTACCTGTCCAAGGCCACAGTTCTCATTTAATCTATGTTCTGTTTTACTTGAATGATTCAAAACTTCAAGAATGTTTACAAATTTTGCTCCTGGGCAGGAAATCATAAGGGCAGGAGCTATGAATGCGTCAGGAAAAAAGTTACGTTAAGGGCATATTTTTAAAAATTCAATTTAAATTTGCCAGGGGAAGAGGGGCAAGAGATAATGGAGTGCCAGGCTTCACACTCCAGTGGGCAGGAGCAGGTCTAGGGGAGCTGCCAGCGGGCGGCAGCAGATCATGGTCCTGGGGAGGGGGGCGGCAGGAGTGACGAGGACGAAGACAATGACAACAGTGACATCACGGAGCACGGCCTGCTTACGACAGGCCAGAAACTGCTTTCTGTGCTTTGCGCATCTTCGCTCTCTGAGTCTCACAAAAGCCCCACGAGTGCTCAGGGTGACGGCAGCAGTCTTCACCAGGAGCATCTATGGTAAGTGTCATAAAGGTAGGCAGGTGCCATGTAAGGCAGGTAGGTGTCATGCAAGGCAGGTGGCTGCAGAGCCAGGAGGCAAACTCCAGCTGGTGACCTGACATCAGCTGCTGCTTCTCATCCTTACTCCTTTTCAGCCTTGCTCTCCCGGGCCACCTGAGAACTACTACTCAAGAACTTTCTCATTTATTAGCTAAGGACTCCATCCTTTTTTTTTTCTGCCCAGGCTAGAGTGCATTGGCAAGATCTTGGCTCACTGCAACCTCTGCCGCCCGGATTTAAGTGATTCTCCTGCCTCAGCCTCCCGAGTACCTGGGACTACAGGTGTGCGCCACCCTGCCCAGCTAATTCTGTTGTATTTTTAAAAATAGAGACAGGGTTTTACCATGTCGGTTACACTGGTCTTGAACTCCTGACCTCAAATGATCCACCCGCCTCTGCCTCCCAAAGTACTGGTATTACAGGCATGAGCCACCATGCCCAGCCTGGACTCCACCCTCGCTGTGATCAGGGGTTGTGTCTCTCTGCCCTGCCCATGCTGGGTACAGCCCACACCACCACTCCAGGTGCAGCCCCCATGGCAGGGGGCACAATGCCTCTGGGAGAACGAAATACTCAGGTCACTGCAATCCAAATCTTTTTCCTAAGAAGAAAAGATCATATTCAGCAAGCCGTCTATAAAGCTTTAGGAAAGCAGAACAAAGTTGGCTGCTCATTTCTATTAATAAAATTACATATCCTTCATGTTAGTGGACTGTGTGACCGTAAGGCTGGAAATTCTCAGAAGTGACTGGGAGTTCAGAGTCACCAAATGCGGGGTGTAGCTGCTCAGCTGCCACTCACCAATGCAAACCCATAGCCCTGTGTGGTCCTGAGATCAATCTGGCAAGTACAGAACTGAGCCTGGGGTTTTTCCCAAATTTCTTCTCAGGTTTACAAAAACTCCCCCCTTCCCTTTGAGAAAGCTGTTCTCACCGCTTCTGAATTTCTGCATCACTGAAGGAAGAGAGCCGAGGCAGGCCGTTCTTCTCGTGGTCATGCACCACATTTTCAGGGATCTCCTCAATGGAAGGAAAGGCTCCTGGGATGTAAACAGAAGGAAAGGCATGTTGGCTGCTCTGGTGCACCCCTTAGAGAAGGGCATGTCCTTACCTTGGCCCCCATGCTTCCCTGGAGTGTGCAACAAGCCCACCCCCAATATCCAAGTTTAGGTCTTTAAATTTCAACTGCTTCTGCCAGCAGGAAGAGAGAGTGAAGAAAAGCTTCTGGGAATCCATAAGCCAACTGGAGGAAACTGATGATTTCTGGGAGGAAGCAGGAGGGAGCAGGAGTAGAAATGTTGGCAGTGCCTACCCCTGGCAATGGACCTAACTGGGCTAAATCTACCATTAGAGGAAGATCGCTGAATGCAAACAGAATTCCTAACACCAGCAACACTCACTCTACTCTGAGACTGGGGGAAAATGCCAGAGAAGCAGGACTTTGGAACATCGTGCTGAGATGCCTGCAGCAGCTTCACAGCCCCATCCCATGGACAGGCTGAGCTCGCCCAGCACCTCATGCCCCTCAGCCCACAGTGGCTCTCAGGTACCCCTACAGCATCCCAGGCTGGCACGGAGCAAAGACCATTTGATGCTGGAAAATTCTGGCTAAGCTGTGATACATCTAAGACGGAGTCAAAAGAGGACAAGGCGTGCTGAGAAGGCAGGGCACTGCCAGCAGCCAGGGTGTGTCATCAGGGACCAGCGCTGGGTCCAGGCTGCTGAATGGAACTTGGGCAGGGGCCATCCTAGGGGTGGTTGGCTGAGCAAGTGTTTTCATTCTTTTCTCAATGCAGACAAATGGAAATACACTGTCAGTATGCTGAGGAGGTTTTCTCCAAGCCTCTGCAAACCTTAACATCCATCTTTGTGTTAATACTGTAGGGTTAAGATTGGAGTCCAGGCAGGGAAGAATCTGAGCAGTGGACACAGCCTTGTCTGTTTTACTCCTTCCTCCCCTGAGTATTTAAGGCCCAGTCCAGAACTCTGTGCTATGTGCTATGGATGTCTGTAAACTAGGTACGGGGGGAGCACTGCTCTCAAGGGAACGGCGACAGAACCAGCTCTGTGGGTTCACATATGGACACACTCACATACCTGTCCCTGTCTAGGTGTACTAGTGATGACCGAAACAGCCACAAGGACAACCCGCTTCTGTATTACACGACCCAGCAAGCCCACTCCCATTTCTATACTGTCCTCGTAAGTGGGTGTTCACTTCGTAAAGAATGCTGCTTCACACTGTGGTGGCTGATTTGTCAGCCTTTTGTATATTCCTTGTTTTCAATTTGATTTGCAGCCTCATTCTGCTTCTGAAAACCCAATATGCTATCCAATTACCAGGAAAGCACATTAATTATATGTGACAACCACAAGATGAGGTGCTGCTATTGTCTCTCCCAGTCAACCCATGTGAAGGCCAAACAGTGGCCAGCAGGGACCTCCGACTCTGCGGGCAGCATCAGGAGTGGTAGGCAGGGCATGGAGCCCCAGGGCCACCCACCCATGGTACCCCAAAATCTGATTCCTGATCCAGGAATCCCACTGCTGTTGACTGTAACTATCTCCTGTCTGAAGCTAAATTTCATAGGCAGAACCCATAATTATCAGGATTGGTTCAGACTAATTGGAATTTAAATAAATAAACATGTCTAAAAAGAGTAGTGAGTAATCAAAACTGCAGTGTATGAGGTCACTTTGTGATGATCTAATTTGCTCCCTAGCAAACACTCAGCTTTCCTGAAGCAAGCTGACTCAATCCTCTGAACACAGACGCTTAGTGTGAAATGGGGTACAATTTCTTCCTGCCCACTGGCACAGAATGCTTGGACTGCCGGTAAAGAGGCACCGGGCTCCGGGACGGGGCTCCCCTCCCAGGCTCTATGGTGTGGGCCCTTCTCACTGCAGAGAGGGCGACAGTGAGGCTTCCTGGTGGCTCAGTGAGGGTGGGGCCCTGGCGGACGTGGGACAGAGTGGGTGACTATAACCATTGACACAGTGAACCTGAAGAGAAGAAGTGGGGAGGTCCTAGGGGTGGACAAGGCGCCTGAAGTGGGGATCTGCTGTCACAGGCGAGGAGAGCTAGACTGTGGCTGTGTCCCTTTGAAAAGAATCGGTGTCTAAAAGAGCCCCACTAACGTAGAAGGCACAACACTAACAGGAAACAACAAAAGCAGGCTTGTCTGGAGGGCCACCAGTCCTTTCAGGAGAAACCAGCCCTCCTGTGACTCCTCCCTACCGTCCTCCCCAGCCTCCACAGCGCCGGCCATCGAGACCCTTCCCAGACGGACATTCAGCAGCCCCGCACGCACCGTTTAGAACGATCAGCACTTTCTTCCACTGGGTGTTGCCCACTTTCGGAGTCTGGCAGAAAAGAATCTTGTGCTTGTCACAGACAAATATTCGGTCCAGGACAAACTTGGAGACAGGAGTATGCGAGAGATTCTTCAGGGCCTCATCCCTGCAGACGTTTCTGATGAGTTCCAGGCGTTCCATGTAGACCAGGGGCTGAATGAGCCGGCTGTCTGGAAGCGCCTTCCCAGTTGGCTGCAAGTGACATGGAGCAGAAGAGGCCCAGGACCATTAAAGGAGGCAGGACTGAGTCAAGCACAGCCACTCCTGCTGGCCTATCCCTTCCTTCCTCTTTTCCTTCCCTTTCTACAGGTGACATCCACTGCCCCCAGCCCCCTCCAGAGGTCTCCCTCCGGGCCTCTCCACCAGCCTGATCGGCGGGGTGGGCAACAAAAATGAATGCAAGCTTGGTTCCTCGGACGTCTTTGGAGAAAAGTTTGACTTTAAAAAACAAAATAAGGCCAGGTGCAGTGGCTCATGTCTGTAACCCCAGCACTTTGGGAGGCCAAGGTCAGGGTATCATGAGGTCAGGAGTTCGAGACCAGCCTGGCTAATGTAGTAACACCCTGTCTCTACTAAAAATACAAAAAATAGCTGGGTGTGGTGGTGCATGCCTGTAATACCAGCTACTGGGGAGGCTGAGGCAGGAGAATCACCTGAACCTGGGAGGTGGAGACTACAGTGAGCCAAGATTGTACCACTGTACTCCAGCCTGGGCAAAAGAGCAAGACTCTGTCTTGGGGAAAAAAAAAAAAATTAAAAACCAAAACAAGAAGTTTGGAATCCTCTGGATAGGGGGAAATAAAGATGAAAAAGCTCAAATTCTACATGCTGGTCGATTCTTCACAGGGCCACTTTAGAACCTAAGAGAATATCTGTAACGTGCGAGGCCTTGTGTGTATGTGGGTTGGAGGGGCAGACGGAGATGAACCAGCACACACAGAAGTTGTTCAGGGACCCCCTGTCCTTGGTGAGTTAAAATCCCCTTGCTGCTCACACCTACTTGTTCTCCGGGGGCATCCTGAGGGCATTCCAGAATAGCAGGGCTGTTTCCCCCAACCCCATTCCATTAGCCCCCCTCTAGCTGTGGCCCTGTTTCTTAGCACTGTGATTAAAGGCTTCCGCTGCTACATCTATTTCTTAAAGCCACACAGAACTTCCCAAGATTTGAAAGCAGATGATCCTTCCAAATAATTGTATTGAATGGACCCAAATGTCCTTGTTAAATCTTTAAAAAAGCACTAGGCTTGCCAGGAAATCCATTTATAGGGTAGTTTAAAAACCTGTCGTCCCAGGGGACTGTGTCAGTTACAAAATGGGAAGGACGTAAGCCTTCTAGAACACACTAGAACCAGGACCCTGGAACTATCAGGATGACAAAGGTTTCCCCCTCGGCATCCCCCCACCCAGCTCTTTCTTCGGGGATCTACTGTAAATACACTTGCTTACACTCATGACCTCTGGCTAGGATGCTTTCAACCTCGTGTGTTTAAGTGAATTTCCTGGGATACCCTGGTGGCGGGAAGAATGTCCTGGGGTTCCTGACTGCCTGCTTTCCGAGATGAAGACACTGAGGAAGTGAGAGAGGCCCCTTCGCAGAATGGCCTCTGTTCCTCCCTATGGGGCATCAGCGGCTGCCCGCTTCCTGGGCTCTCCACCCACCACGGAAAACCAGCAGCCATGCCAGGCACTCTCCTCGCTCTTACAAGAATGGATCTCATTTGACCTCATTTCCTCATCCATCCCACCTTTTGCTCACTTATCCCAAAAGAGTCTGCCTTCTCCTCCCTCTGTTCCAAACTGAAACCGGATCATGGATAGCACTCAAGAGCAGCATGTCAGGGGAGAGCACCTCCCAGCAAATTTCCTTTAGAAAATGCAGAGAAAACTGCACTTTTAGATACTGCTTTTGAGCAAAGCATTAAAGACGAAGAAAAAAAATTCTTCTTCTAAGAGATGAGGTCTCGTTCTGCCACCCAGGGTGGAGTGCAGTTGCACAATCATGGCTCACTATAACCTCCAACTCCTAGGCTCAAGTGATTCTCCCATCTCAGCCTCCCAAGTAGCTGGGATCACAGGCACACACCACCATAGCCAGCTAATTTTTGTATGTTTTGTAGAGATGAAGTCTCGTATATTGCCCAGGCTGGTCTCGAACTCCTGGGCTCAATCGATTTTAATGCTTTAGCCTACCAAAGTGCTGGGATTACAGGCATGAGCCACCATGCCCAGCCAAAAAAAAAAGATTTCTTGTTCAATTGTGTCTCTGAACTAGCATTTTCTTTTTTCCCTTTGCAAATATACAAAACCGATTTAAAGACAGATATTATTTTCTATTTTCCAGCCAAACATTCAGCTACCTCATGCACAAAATAAACTTTTAAAGGTGAACTACAGAACCCGATCATGTTGATAAATCACTTTTCTTGTGAGAAAACACACGCTGAGTTTTAGTGTCACCTAAGGACACGTGGCCTCAAGGAGTGCTGACATCCCCTCTGACATCCCCCACTACCCTCACCTCGCATCTGAGTCTCATGAATATGAATGGGCCAGGTGGGAAAGAGAAGGGCACAGAGGGCACTGAGTTCAAAGCCCAGGCCCTCTACTCGCTATCCAGGGGATAGTGATCCAGTGAGCACAGTTCCTCGAGCCTTATATTTCCCAAATGCAAACTGAGAATAAAAATACACCTAAGCTGGGGATTGAGACCATGCCGGCCAACATGGGGAAACCCCATCTCTACTAAAAAATACAAAAATTAGCTGGGCATGGTGGCATGCACCTGTAATCCCAGCTGCTCGGGAGGCTGAGGCATGAGAATCACTTGAAACTGGGAGGCGGAGGTTGCAGTGAGCCAAAATTGTGCCACTGCACTAGAGCCTGGTGACAGAGGGAGACCCTGTCTCAAAATAAATAAATAAAACACACACACACACACACACACACACACCCCAGAGGGTGGCTCAGAAGACCAGTGAGATTGAAACCCAGTAAAGTACTCTGCAAACTGTACAGCACATTCAGGTGCAGTCTTTTTATCTGCAATGACTCCTGCAGGCTGGCAATCTCTCCGGAAGTGCCCTCCACCTGAAGACGGGGAGAGAGAGCACCAGGATGACCACCCTCTTCCTCACAGGGTGTGGAATTCTCATGGGAACCTTGTTGTGACACTTTGCCAAAGGCTTACCCTACCTTTGTTTTTATCCATCTAACTTTGCTTTCCTATTTAATCCATCCTATTAAAGCCACTCTCCTATTTTCCATAGTTTTTTTTGGTCTCGTTTCTGTAGCCCGTCCAAATTCTTTTCTTACCCTGGGATGCCTCAACCTAAAAGCAACATCTAGGCTGTCTCAGAGTTCTGCAGACTTGACCTCCATTCCATCAATGTCCTACGAGACGTAACCTCCAGCGGCATTCTACTCTGACTGGTGTATGCTTTCTATGCTTACTAAGTTCTAATTTATCGTCCTTACACTGTGAACCATGGATAGGAGCTGTCCCCATCTCTACGGCTTGATTCTGGGCTTACAAATATTTTTAGGGCTTGCTGTACCCATTTCATTCCTTTTGGCACAACTGCAACTTCAACCCTCCAGATCCAGAATGGGGGTTAGGAAGTGACAGGCCTTCCAGAGTGCACCCCTCATTCCAGCTGGGGAATGACTAGAAACTTCACACGAGAAGTCTGCAGAGAAAGCCACGGAGCCAGAATGCCAAGGCAGGTGAGGGCTGGGTGGAAGTCAGCAGCCTTGAGCTCTGCCAGGAACCCCATGGGACCACGGAGGATCTGCCTTTTTCCTAGGCTCAGTTCTCTCATCCATACAATTTGGAGGCTGAATTAGTTGCTCTGCTGTCCAGGGCCCCCTTTCATTCTAAAACCCCAGGGCTGAGTGAGATGTCTTCTCCCACTCCCAGTTTCCTCCTGACCCTGCCCAATACCCTTGGCTCCCCAGGTGAGGCTCCTGTTCAGCTGGTCAGGAACGTGGCACAACCAATAGTGACAGAGGAGCCCTGATGCACAGAGCTGTGAGGAGCACAAAAATAGATATGACCTGTGCCTTCCTCAAATGGAAATTAACAAAGTGAACTAAACATGGCAAAGTAACACAGGGAATGGCTGTAACGCGGACGTGATGACAAGTGGAACCAGCCACAAAGAAGAGCTCGGAGGGGAAGGCCAGCTCTCCGCGACAGGGGTGCCGTGTCCGAGGGGACAAGGACCTGGCTGTGCCTACCTTCAGTTCCTCAGGAATGTGCTTCTCTTCTGGCAACTTCCCCACTTCCGGCATGGTTGTCAGGAACAGAAGCTCCTGTTTGGCACTGTACACTGGAAGACAGAGAGGTTAGATGTCGTCTTTAAAAAGAAAAGGCACACAGCTGGATGGGACAGAGGCCCCCAGAAATAGAAGCTCTCAAAGACACCTGAATGCCTCTTGACAAAGCCACAAAAGCCATTCAACGGAGGAGGGCGGTCTGTCCAACAAAAGGTGCTAGAGCACCTGGACATCCACACACAGAACGAACCTCGATCCAAACCTCACACCTTATTCAACAAGGAACTGAGTGGATCACAGACCTGAATGTGAAACATAAAACCACAGATCTTTTTAAAAAACAGTCACGAAGAAAATCTGCCCCGTGAAAGCCCATTTGAAAAGGAGGAAAAGACAAGCTCTAGGCAGGGAAAAACTATCTGACCAAGGACTCGTACCTAAAATTTGTAAAGAACACCCTCAAAATTCAACAATTAAAAAGCCAACCAACCCAACTAGAAAACAGGTAAGACACACCCAGACATTTCACTGGAGCGGATCCACAGATGGCAAATAAACACATGCAAAGATGGTCAAGGCTGCAGAGACCTTTATATCACAGGCTCTGCCCTCAAGCAGCTCAGAACCGAGTTGATGGGCTGCCACGGAAAGCAGATGGGATGAGGACGTCAGCCAGGAGAGAGGAAAAACCAGCGCCTACAAACATAAACCAGGTCCACAAGGTGTCATTTTGAGTCTCACCTTATGATTCCATCACATTCCCACGGCTGAGGGGGACTGATTTCCCATGAGAAAGTCTAGTTACAACACCTGATCCTAGTTCAATACGACACTGAAATTTGTTAACTGAGGATAAATCATTGCCAAAAATATCACTGGCTCCACTGCTGAGCTGAACAGAAACTGTAACACCAAAAAAAGTAAATGTTGCTTTAAGCAGCAACTCAAGACAACCACGCTCTTCCTAGGGGCTCCAGTGGCAGGAGAAACCGGGAAAGTTCTGAGGCCGGCCGCATTTCCCAGAGGACAGGGCTGAAAAGAGCAGCCAGGAGTGCTGATGCCAAGCCTTCTCCAAGCCATTCCCAGGAAATGGAACTCCCCACTGAGGACACTATTGCGTCTGATATTTCCTCCTTGTGACACTTCACAATGGGCTTCTAGTTCATAATCAAAAACACCGTGAATGTGTGTGAAATAAACTCCAACATGGGAGAAATCTTTTATGGCCACGAGCTTACAAACCCCTTTGGGTTTCCTGTGCTGCCCAAGATCCAGGCTCCGGGACACACTCTCTAAAGCACAGTGCTGGAGGGGAAGGCTCCAGGCGAGACGCCCGCACCACCCCAGCCCGGGGTGCCTCTGCAGGGGCGGGCTCTGAGTGTTACTGCTCTTGATGCTTGAGCCCGGCTCCCTCCTGCACTGGCAAGACACCTGCGTGTCAGCTTGTGTCCTGCATCGAGAACTCAGCCGGCGGACATCCACCTTCAGGATTCTAACCAGGTACTTTGGGACAATTAGATAGCACCCCACGTGACTGAAGCAGGCTGCGTAGTGCTGTGGTGGCCACCCCAACTGCAGAGGGCCCATGACAGAGGATTCTTGCTGAGTTCACTGCATACCCTGTGGTCAACAGCATCCTCACCACCAGCACCCGCGCCTTTGGGTCGGGGCAGCGATCCCATCTCAGTGACCCAGCACCCACACACCACACCACATCTCACAGGGCAGGGGAAGCGCCCCCTTCCACTCGCCTTAAGGCAGCCAGCTGGAAGGATCTGGCAGGCAGTATTAAGGACAGCTGCAGAGCTCCTCTGCTGGTGTAAAATCCAAAAGCCCTTCGTCTTTCTTCATAGATTTTATCTTCTAACGCTCCCTACTATTCCTTTTCTCCTCTTCACAAAACCCTGTTCCATGCCTATGCTTTGCTTTTTTTCTAACCAGGCCCACCTCTGCTTAGCTTCCAGATCAGTGTCTACACTGAAAACACTCAGCACGAAACTTGATATATCAAAGGAGAATGAGACCTCATTTATCAGATGCTGCTGGGAAACAAGATGTTCTTTAGAGGCCACTGTGCTAGATAATAGTAAAACACAAAGGCACACGTTTTATTTAACTATTATTGATGGAAGTCTGCTAAAATGTATTACATATACTCCTTTTTTAAGAAAAATAAACCATAAACAATTTAATCTCATGCCCTGCCTTTTGACTGCCTTCTGTACCAGGAGATGACATTTAGGAGAATGCCAAGTAACACCTATTTCTTACTCTCAGCAGCTGTTTCTCTTCAATTCTCCAGCTAGGATCTACACCTGCGCTTCTCAACTTGTCCCCACGCCCAAGGATTCTCCTTCACTGAGTCTCAAGCAGCAGCAGGTTTGCAAAGTCCCACAGGTGATTCTGAAGTGCTGCGGGGATGAGAACCACGGCTCTAGGGCTTTAGGAGGGAACTCTCAGTGGCATGTCACTGTGCTGAATCTGCCATGGAAATGTCCAAACTGTCAAACTGAGATCATTGTCTCACATTCCAACAACCCTTCAAGAATCGACCCTTTCTCTGCTGACCGAACCCTGAGTCCCGGGTGTGAGCTGTCATGCTGACACCTGCCCAGATACTTGCAGGTGTAATACCATTCCTGAGGCTGTGCAGACCTCACAGGTTTCTCTCAAGGGCTCCTGGAGGATAAGGTGGGACATGTGATGACTGCCAATCAGGGCCCAACAACTGTCACAGGGAGAACCACCAGGTGGACTAATTTCAGGGTGTCCCTCTTTTCCCTGCAGACCTCCCTCCTAATCTTGCTGTCCCTCTCCAGACAGGGTGAGCCAGAGAGAGGATGGGGAAGGAGTTATAGGGCACTGTGCAGTCCTTGACACAGCCAGGGGCATGCCTGGGAGCTCTGTGGGGTGGAGCAGGGGCCCATTCCCCAGTCACACAGATAGCACAGGTCAGTGAAGCCTCCAGAAGAACTGCTGGCACAGAGGCATCTCTAACTGCCCCTTCCCAAGGCTACCATCGGCAGGAGGACACACAAAGCATAGTGCAGAGTAAAGACGCTGTGCCCACCATGTTCCCCAGTATCTCCCCATCAGCCTGATGGGCTGGGCCAATCCACGGCTGGATATGAGGACTTCAATGACTCCATGTGTCTGGCCTCCTCATGCCTGGCCACTGAATGAAGTAGCCTCGGGGCTGGAGGGCAAATCACACACCTCCTTGCACATACACAGCACTCCACAGACCATGGAGCATCTCACCATGCTCAGGGCAATCATGGGCAGTGCTAGAGCAGGCAGGGTGTCCATTTGGTGAAAGAATCATTGTGGTGCAGATAAGCAAACGACAAGAGCACAAAGTAGAATCAGCGTTCTGAGACCCAATTTGGCGCTCTTACCCATCCTCATCTGAATGCCAATGTTCAGTAAAGAAGAGCTAAGAAACCCTCTAAGACAACCTGAAGACATACATTTAAATGACCCCCCTCCACTGCATGCAGGGTGACCTTCAAACATGTGGCCACCACATGGGCATGCCGAGCAGTCAAGGCTGTATCTCTCATGATGACATGAGGCAGAGAGAACTCCCAAACTGTGAGCCTGAGAGGCACCCTGCTGCAAGGCATAAGGCCGCTGTGCTACTGGGAGGCAGCCCTGCTCCTTGCTCCTCAGGCACTACCCAGGCCTCAGCCACAAAGAGCAACTTCCTTCCTCCAGAGGGGTGCTTGAAAAGACCCTCCAGCCCCTCCCACCCCACCTCCCCTCACATCTCTGTAACATGAAGGACTGGAGGCCACGACTTCCAAGGTCCCTGCTGGCATGAAAGTCCTTTGACTCTGTGACAGAAGTCACCTGTGCATGTACCTAGGAAAAGTGTTGCAGCAAGGTTTGAATTAGCCAAAATTCATTCCACCACGAAGCATACCTACCATCCGGGTCTTTAAAGGTCAACGTGATGAACTTGCTAGCCACCATGAACATGAAAATCACCCAAAAGCATGCGGCCAACAGAAGCCACTGGTGGTGCATGTTGTCACACTGCAGCCATTCACTGACTCTTCCTGGAAAACACAAGCAAGATGCCCCTGCTGCTTACAAACACATCAACTCAACAAAGAGGAACGAAGACAGCAGATGAGTTCAGTCAGTAAGAATCAGCACAAATATTTCCAGTTTTTCCCACTGCTACAACAGATAGTCTGACTTGGCATTTAACTTAACGTTTCATATTTAATTAATGATATTAAATGATCGATTTAATAATAAAATCACATTTAGAACACCCTAATGGAGAGACGTGATAATGAGAGAAGACCGCCTCTGTTGTATTCTCGGAACACATTTGCCCCCTGACTCCTGTTGGGGCCAGGCTAAGGTCCCAATGAGCTCCCACGACAGCCTGCCAAGGACTAGGCCTTAGCTGAGGGTCATTCATAGCAGGCAGAAGCCATGCTGGGGCAATTAGGAGCTGGCTGTGTTTAAAATTTAGACTGGCTGACAAGATGTAGCCACACCTAGAGAAGCTCTAAAAAAGCAAAGGAATGAACACTCACGCTTCTCACCTCTGCCCACTCACCAGCAAGGGCCTGGGCAGAACACTGAGGGGGGTGTTTTTCATGCTATCACAGCCCGGGAGCAACACGGGGCACGTCAGTCCTCAGCCTGGCACAGAAGCCACACTCTCCTGCAGGGAGCACAGAAAGAACCAGGAAGTCACTGTCAGTTCTTGGCAGGTGACACAAGGATGTGTGTTTCATTTCATCTTTAACACAGTGCTTCTTCAAGCCAAAGCTCTTCACGAACAGACCCGACCCTGGGCTGAGCTGGTTCCCACCAGCTGACTGAGGCCATCCTTCACTTCTTCGTGGAGGGAGAAGTGGTCCCCTCAACACGGTGCTGATGGCAAATAATTTCCTAACCCCGTGTAGATCTGAGCTCCATGAAGACCCAGGTAAATCACTCTCCTCCTTGTTTCAACATTTACATCCTAGAATCTCACTGGAACCAGGCATCTGAAATGCAAATACCCTCCATGACACACCCACCACGTGGTTACCCGGCCACACCTGAATATAGCCTGCAGTGGGGAGCTCACCACCTGCCAAGCCACCTGGGCCTTTTCCAAATGCCTCCCGAGCCACCCTCAGGTGCCATGTAAAAGACTTAGTGTGTTTCCTGGGGTCACCAATAGGGTTGCCTGATTAGACAAATAAAAATACAGAATATCCCCCAAGTTAAGATTAAATTTAAGATAAACAATATGTAACTTTTTTAGTATAACCCAAATATTACATGAGACATACTTATAATCCCCTCCAAAAGCGGTATTTTGTGCCCACATATTAGGCCTAGTGTGCTTCCTAGGTTCCCCAAGTCGGGTTGGACAAATAAAAATACAGGATACCCAGTTAGGTTTAATTTCAGTTAATCTTTAGTATAAAGTATGTCCTAAATATTGCATGGGATATACTTATACTAAAAAAACAAAACAAAACCTATGTGTTGTTTTCTGAACTTCAGATTTAACTGAGCGTGTTGAGAAACATTAAGTTTTCCCTGCCCTCATGGCTCCTTTGTGGAGGATATCTTTTAGTTTGTAATCAGTGGTAGGCAGGTAATAGCTGCCTACTTGGTAGAATCTTGAGTTATGTGTAAATATAAACCACCTGTGTATTAATGAGAATCACTTGTTTAAGAGCAAATAAATACGTGGATGAACGTCTGCTCAGGGCCTTCAGTCTGGAGAGCTATCAGCCCTGCAAGCTCTCAGGGTGCTGGTCCTCTGGATGGATCCACCCTGTTGTACTATCTGTGTGTCTGCCTCTCAAATACCTTCAGCACCCTTGGGTGAGGGTCTCCTGACCTAGCTGGTTCTCGGTAGGAGCGTACTGTGGTTTATCAGCACCACCACCCAGCAGGGGGCATGCCAAATTCCTTGGAAGCCAGCTATCCTGTCTCCTGGCTTCTGCCACTACTTGTCAGAGCAGCACAAAGTAAAGAGCCCCAGACTTGGTTCAAATCCCTGCTCACACCCGTTAGCTCTGTGACTCCGCAAGTCACTTAACCTCTCTAAACCTCAATGTCCCATCTCTAACAGAAGGCCCTCCTCCTCCCAGGGTGCCCATGAGGATTAAATGTAGACAAAAACCAGACAAAAAACCAGTACCTGCCTGGCCTGATTGCAGACCCCCAGTAATCATAAACTGACCAAACCCTTGGCATTCTCTGTGATTTTCCAGCTTAATCTACACCCTTCTCAGTGTGGTCTGCCCCAAGAAGAGAGAAAAAAACAAGACACACTCTCATTCCAGCAACAGCTAACTTTCCTTATAGAAGTTACTTCAGGAGGCAGGCTGCCCAACCCTCTCCGAGGGTCTCCAGTCTTTTTCAAGTATGAAGCCCCCTTTCAACCTCAGAATATTTCTCTAATCTCCACAAGCAGTTCCATATTTAATATCCATTAACTGAGACTACAAAACAACCAAATGCTACAAGGACTTCAGTATTGCTTGTAAACAAAATGATATAAACCACAGCATGTATATACATTCGGATACACTTACTATTTAAAACACATTGACTGGGGGGTTAGGAGATCATGCTAAAGTCCAAAACACATTTTCATTTTCAATAAAACCCTATGCTGAAAGGCAGGCCAATTACATAGATCCATATCCAAAGTGTCAAGATATACCAGTAAACAAAAAACACACGCTGCAGGATGGAATGTTTCATCCCATTTGTTATAAAAATCATGTATGTATAAAATATATATGATTACACACACATACAAACATACATATATGCAATACATAAAATAAAATCATGAGAGGATGGAAAGAGGTCTTTTTGTACTTTATACAATTCATATTTAAAATATTTTCAATAAGCATTTTTTTTTGAGGCAGGGTCTCTCTCTGTCACCCAGGCTGGATGGAGTACAGTGGTGAGATCTTGGCTCACTGCAACCTCTGCACCCTGGGTTCAAGCAATTCTCCCGCCTCAACCTCTCAAGTGGGTGGGATTACAGACATGTGCCCCCACGCCCAGCTAAGTTTTGTATTTTTAGTAGAGATGGGGTTTCACCATGTTGGCCAGGCTGGTCTTGAACTCCTGACCTCAAGTGATCCACCTGCCTTGGCCTCCCAAAGTGCTGGGATTACTGGAGTGAGCCACCGCACCCGGCCTAGTTAAAAATTTAGAAAACTGGCACTTGTTCTGCAAGTCACGCCCTACATGAGCCAATCAGAACCAGTGAGACTACAGCCCCGTCCTCTCTCAAAACACCTCCTTCCCCCAGGTCCAATATCTCTACAGTTTACAAAATACAGTGCTCAAATGTGAGTAGTGTGTATGTGCGTACACATTTAAGGACAAAATAACCTAAAAATAATGACTTCAAGCTCATTATTCATTATCCATATCCAGTGTATTCATTCATCCTGTAGAACAGCTGCCAACGATAGGACCCTGCATCCCTAACCAAACACATACACAGATCTCGTCCTTACAGAGCTTGTTGTCTAACAGGCCCACAGGAAGGAAAGAATCTATCTCAGGAGAGGTTCTTGATGAAGTGAGAGGCACAAGGTGCTGTGGGGAGAAGAAACAAGGGGATGTATCTTGGGCAGAGCAGCCCAGGCCAGCAGTTACCTAAGGTGAAGGGCGGGGTTCCAGGCCAAGGGAACAGCCCCTGAGTAACTAAAGGCAGGCTCATGTGGCTGGAGTTCCAGGGCACAGGCAGAGGCAGATGCAGGCCAGACAATATGGGGCCATCCAGAGCAATTATGGTCTTTTCCTTGCAAGCAATGGGAGCTCCTGAAGAGAGTGTTACATGAAGACAGGTGGTGATGTCATGACCTGATTTAAATTTTGAAACAATTTCTTCGGCAGCAGAGTCAAAGGTGCAAAAAGCAAATGTCCACTCAACAACTGCCTGGTCTCAAGGTCATTTTCATTCATGGAGGAGGGAGAATTCTAATCGGGCACAAGCAACCCCAGCTAGGTGCTCCACACCTCATCCTCTCTGGCTCTGGCTCTAGAAGCCAGCAGATGAGCTAGAAGGATCCACATTACCTGGTGTGATGGGTTTTGAGCGGTGTGCCCAGCTAAGTGTGGTGTCATTTGCTTCGCAATTACATGGGTTCTGAATCTAGACATCTACCTGATGGTGTCTGGCTTTATGTCCGGGGCAGTGGATCACAGCCCTGGCTGGACACCTGAGAAACTCTGAAGAAACAGAGTGACACCCTGGCCCCAAGAACACCCCAGCCAAGACAACACAAATATCTGGAGGTGGTACCTAGGCATTTTTTTAAAAGCTCTGTTCGTGACTCTAATGAGCAGCTGGGAGTGAGAACTGCTGGTCCAGGACCTCAGCCCTTTTACATTTTAATGCCCACATGAATCCCCCTGGGGATCTTGTTAAAATGCAGACTCTAGGCATTCTGGCAAAAATGCCATTCTCCCACCAACTCCTTCCATCTTAAGAAGGAAAATTGGCAGCAAAAAAGCATCTAATCAACGAGAGTCTATTGATGCTCTGAATTACGAGCATTCCAAATACACAGTTAAGAGGTTTAATTAGAATCTAGGACCTTCCATCACTGCCTTCAGCTTCCTCTCCTTTCCAGCTCCCCCATCTACGGGTAACTGGACTCTGTAAAATTAGGCTTTGTCTGACTTTGGAAAACAACACAAAACTCTGCCTCCCCCCCTTTTTTTTTTTTAAAGAGAGGCATTCCAAATTCACTTTGCCCCAGCTCTTCTAAGACTGCCCCATTCTCTGCACTGTTTCCTTGAATACTGAAGTTCGCATGGGGTTTGCCTCCTGTCTGAGGATGGCACCGCCAAGGCTCACTATTTCTGTCTACAAGGGGACTGGGGCCTGACATGAAGAGTAGTTCCTCAGGGCTCTACCAGGGGCTGCTGCTCTCCCTATAGCCAGGTGACAAATGGCCTATAAAAAGCCTGACATTAGTAGGCCGGGCACAGTGGCTCATGCCTGTAATCCCAGCACTTTGGGAGGCCGAGGTGGGCGGATTACCTGAGGTCAGAAGTTCGAGACCAGCCTGGCCAACATGGAGACACCCCCCCCACCACCGCCCAGAACCATCACTAAAAAAAAAAAAAAAAAAGCCTGATATTTTCTGTAATTAACTCCCCTTTGCTCAAGGAGCCAACTCCCAAAGTGCCTGTTGAGCTAATGGTGGGAGTGAACCCGAGCTCCACCAACCCCCCATCCCCGCACACCATCCAGTCATGGCGCAGGCCCTGAACAGAGCCTCCCTAACCCCTGGAATCTGCACATCCATCTTCAGAACTTTCCTACTTCCAGTCATTCAATGGGATTTTCACGAGTCAAGATGTCAGGATCTGAAACTAAGCCAGAGGGTTTGGTTCCTCAATTCAACCCACAAGGCCGAATTGGCAGCTGAAGAACTAAAGGCCTGATGGGGAAAGCAGGGTCAGGGAAGGAAGAATCTACAAGAAGCCCTAATCTTCCCCCTTCCCCACTTCTAAAATAAAAGAAAAACAGCACACATTTTACATGTTTGTAATTACTAACAATGGAAATGCTACTATTACCATCTCTTGATGCAAATCGTTCCTCCCCTGCATTTTGAAAAGGAAACTTGTGAATTCATTTTGCTCAGCTGCCAATACCATTCCTGCCAGCAGCTTTTCCCCAAGTCTGAGTTGTCATCCAGAAGCACAGCGCCTTTCTTACACTACTGACAAGTTTGCCACCCACCTGCCAGGCCCCACTTCTAATACACGTATTCACTTATTAAAGGTTCTGAAAAGTCTCATGGTAAATAAGCCCGCTTCACTGTTTAACCAGCCTTTTTCCAGATGTTCTTTCATTCAGCAATATTTACCAAAGTCCTTCTCCAAGCCGGGGCTGTTCTACACCCTGGGGAGACAGCAACACACATTCCCTGCTCTCACAGTGCGTCTTTTTAACAGATAATCATGGGCCATAAACAAATCAAGTAATCAATGTATAGGATCAAGCCAGATGACAGGTGCAGTGGCTAATCAACAAGGGCATGGGTAGGATGTTGAGAAAAGGCAGGACACAGTGTGGGAGCAAGCCATGCAGACCTCTGGGCAAAGACTGCGGTTTAGGTCCCAGAATTCCAAAAGTGGCAAGAAGGCCGGTATTCCCCATGCAGAGCGGGCAAGCTGGGACAGGAGTGGGTCAGATAAGGAGGCCTGTCTATGGCCCTTTACTGACACCACCACTTCATACACACACCGGGGATCACGTCTCCAGGGCTCAACTTTTAAAACACACCCAGACTCTAGAAACTTCACACAGAAAACAACCTGGCAATGTACAAGGAACCGGTAACCTTTCAGGAGAACGACAGAAGAAATGGGAACTAGACAGACCAGGGCTGCAGCAACAGGGACATTTCACCGTCACCCTGAGCATGTTCTGAACTGCAACGCATGACCCTACCAATAGAATAACTAAATTACAATTTCACAATGCAGAGTGTCTATAAAGTTCTCTGCATGCCACTGAGATTTTCAAATTCATCGTAAAGGCTTCTCTCAATCTGCATTCAGAAATTTCCTTTGTTTTCTCTGTTGTCATACTTATGATTTACTGCCTTGGAATGATTAACCATCCTTAGGAGAATGAAATCATATTCCTAACTGTCCAGTGAGAAATATATCAGCACTTAAGACAGATTTTCATGAGCAATAATAATAATAATACACAGCAAACACCTGGTATGAGGCTCACTGTGTGCTATGCACAGTTCTCAGCAGGTACTAACTCATGTAATCCCAGCCTCAGAGCATGCACCTATTATCATATTTAAGGAAACGTTTCTAAGCACACATTTACATAGTCCTAATCAACAGTTTAAAATCTGCACAGGCAAGAAAAAAGGCAGTAACAATACTGAATGGCATGCTCAAGTAACTTGTGACTCACATTCTCCTTCACGTACCTTCTGTGGCCTGGGGCTCACATTTCCTTGCTGTTTCCCCTGAACTGAGGTTCTTGGTTCCTCGTCACTGGATAAGAAAAAAAAAAAAAAAAAAAAAAAAAAAAAAAAAAAAAAAAAAAGAAAATTACAAGATCAACTTACTTAACACAACTTGGTTTATACATGAGAAATAGTTAATCACGTTGATGATTCAAATATATTTGGCAGAATGCGTCTCCTACAGAGACAGGTTATATTTGGATTTCTTGGTGAATGAATATTCTAAATGTACCAAAATCACTAGCTGTTTAAAAGACTCCTCCATGTAACTTAGTGTGAAAAAGGAATCATTTTTTTGTAGCAAAAATAATCAAATCCAATTATGCCTGTTTCACATGTTTGAAATAGGTAAAAGATTCCTATATAAAATGATCAATTCTTCCAATGCAAAATGTTCTCTGGATTTTGTATTCCTTACACCTTCAGCACCTGGGAAATTCTAGCCAAATATCATATCTTAAATAACTGGAAACAAGCCAAATTCATGGAATTAAAGAGATCATGGATTTAGGAGAGCTAGCAAAATAAGCATACAACTCAGTTAACATACAGTACCGCCCCAGCTGACTGGGACACATGCAGCATGGTCTATCTCTGCTTCAAGAGCTCAATGCTAAAATTAAAAGCAATTTCCCATTATGTCGATAGAAAGATTAAGCTTTACATACAGTCATTCATCACTTAACAACAGGGATACTTTGTGAGAAATGTGTCATTAGGTGATGTTCTTCTGCAAACATCAGGGTGTCCTCATACAAACCTAGGTAGTACAGTTGACTACACACCTAGGCTATATGGAATAGTCTACTGCTCCTGCGATACTAGCCTGCACTGCGGGTACTGTACCGAATACTGTAAGCATCTGTAATACAACAGTAAGTATCTGTGTATCTAAAATTAGACAAGGCAGAGTAAAAATAAGGTAGTATAGTCTTATTGCATATGTGGTCCATCATTGTCAGAAACATCATATACGGCATTTGATGGTCCTCACATCCAGGTTTTCCAGGCATGTATGAAAAAAAAAAAAAAGAACTCCTGAGTTTCTGCAATCTCTAAGGTCCTGCAATCACCTCTCTCCCGTGTCTATTCCTGGCTCTCTCTCACATTTTTATTGGATAAACTCTTCAAACATTGAAAAATGATCTGACTATAACTGCAAGTTGCCTGTGATATTTACAAATTATTTCCTTTCCTTTCTCGGTTTCCCAAGCACTCCGATTTTCATTCCAACAAAGGAATGCATTTTCCGCTCAGGTATTTCTTTGAGATTGTATTCTTCAGGGTCAAGAAAAATTCTGAATTCAGAATTCCAATTCTGAGCCAAGATGGACTAAACTCTAATTCTAATGGGGAGGAAAGGGCAAAGACCACTTCTCTCTGTGTCTTTTCTTTTGAACCCAGTCACTGAAAAGAGTGAAGGAGGAGATGGTTGGTGATCAGGGTGCCAGAGCTAAACTGAGCTGCCTAATTTTAACAGCATCTGAGACATTTCTCACTCTGGCAGTTTAAACTGAGCAATGAAATAACCCAACTCCACGGCCCAAAGCCCCAGACTCTACTTTTCAGACGACATGAATGAATGAATGAATGAATGAATAAATAAATATTTTTAAAAAACAAAACGCCTTTATGACAGTCCTGCTGCTGGGCTAACCAGAACCTGGCTGCAATGCTTTTCATTCACTGCCCAGCCCTTTCCTGCCCCAGACGTGGAAAGCAAAAATGACTGTTTTTGGAAAACCTGGTTCACCTTCCAAGCCAGAAGTACAGAACTGCATGCCTCAACCTCCAACTTCACCAGGCCTCCTAACAGTGAAGATCAAAGGCTCAGGGCATCCCTGAGCCCCTCAGCAGGGAACGTGCATTCCCACCCCTGCTTCCCCTCGCACCGGGGCTGCACATGCTCCTTCTGCCCTGCCCTCCTCTGCATGCTCCTTGGACCCGAGCGGAACCCTTTCTTCCTCTCTCCATCGCCAATTACAAACGCAAATTCTCAGCCAAGGATGAAAGAAGTAAATTGTAGGCTCGCCCAAGTATCAATATTTCCTCGTCTCACAGCATCCCGCACAAGGACGCCTTCTTATTGCATAATTGACGCGAGGAAGGCTCCTCGCGCTACTCCCGCGAACTGGGGAGGTCTTCAAGTCGCCAAAACACACCGGGATGTGGCTCGCCAGGACAAAACCCCCGGTTCTCCGGTGTTTCTGCGCGCCCCGCGGCGAGGGCATGGGCCCGGGCGCTGAAATCCACCCGCCTGCGCGTCCCCGAGCTCACCCTGCTGGAGCGGCGCCAGTTCGGGTCCCCAGGCTCCTCCCCCGGCCCAGGGGCGCAGCGCGGCTCAGGCCTTACCGGGCCTGCGGGCGAAGTGCTCGGGTCCCGACGTCCCAAGAGCGCGGGAGGGCCGCCCTGCCTTGCCCCGAGGCCTCCGCGTCGCGGCCCGCCGGGTCCCGGGATGTGGCGGCGGCGGCGGCGTGAGGAAAGAAGACCGCCCGCGCGCGAGACTGGCTCTGGGGGCCAGGCCGCCGCCGCCCCACGCGGCCCCCGCGCGCCTGCCGGGCCGTGCGCGCCACCTGCCCGCGCCGCCTGCCCGCGCGCGTCCCCGCCGCCGTCCCTGGCCGTGCGCGCTCCGGCGGGCCGCGGGAAGTTGGGAGGGGCCCGGCTGGGGGACCCCAGGCCCGGATCCCGCGCCTCTCCTCCTGCCGCTGCAAAACCCGTCTTTCTGACCGAGACGTGTGGCCAGAAGTCTCTCTGGGCCTCCATCCAGGAAACAGGTTTGCTTTTGAGAACAAAAGAAATCCCAAACTTGGAAAAAGGCAAAAAGCAAACCAAAACAACAACAACCCCCCCAACACACACAAAAAAACCACCTTGGAAAAATGCAAAAAATAGATAAGTGATTTTTTTAAATCCTCAACTTGGAAAAAGGCCACTTGCTTACATTAAAGGTAACTTCCAGCATTTTCTGATAAGCCTACTTAATAAAAGCGGGACCTTCTGTTCTTTAAAGAACCCCCTTGGCTGCCTGTCTTGGGGATGTAACTGTTTTCCAGGTATAGTGAATTAACAAAGGACAATGATGACGGCCTGAACAGTTTACAGACCTGCAGAGTCGTAACTTCTTAACCTGCAGAAATGGATAATGCCTGAGTCAACCTCAAAGGCACTGGGGATTTATTGCCCCAAAAAAGATAAACTAGTTTTATTTTTATACAACCTACATGTTTGTTAACTACCTGACTCTATTTAGCAAACAGGTAAAATAGATAATTGTATCTATTTTAGGTACTCATACACACACACACAGACTCACGCACACACACATAAAATTTTCATCAAGGCTTTCAAGGAACAATACTTTTTTTTTCTTTTCTGTTGGTTCCCTCCTTGAGTTAATAATATTGAAGGAGCTGGCTGTTTGAGTATTTCACTTCTAGCACCATTACTAATCATGGTTTAAAGGTCCTGTCCCTCATGCAGAAGATATTTATTGAGTTCTTTTTTTGGGCCCTTTGGTTGAGATGAGACATTGAATTTCCCTTTGAGGATTTGAAACGTTGCATGTGCATGGGAGAAAAGAAGTAAGTAAATGTGGAGCTTAGATGTGATGCAGCATATTATGCAGGGTTTAAGGGTAAAGGGTCTTGGAATCAGACCACATGGATTCAGAGCCTTCAGATCACGTGGAATCACCACATATAGCTGTGACCTTGTCACGCTCTTATCTCTCTGTTTCCTAGTCTCCTCATCTTAAAGAATGTGGTACTAAAGAATATTGGAGAGGATGTATTTAAAGTACAAAGCACAGTCCTCCCCCAGTAGTAAACATTGCAACAAACACATGCAATTTCCAAATTATTCTAGTTCCCCTTTTTTTTTTTCCTATAAATGAACTTCTAGGAAAGTGTTAGTATTTAGGCTTTTTTTTTTTTTTTNTGGAGTCTGGCTCTGTTGCCCAGGCTAGAGTGCAGTGGCGCCATCCCAGCTCACTGTAACCTCTGCCTCCTGGGTTCAAGGGATTCTCCTGCCTCAGCCTCCCAAGTAGCTGGGATTAACGCACATGTCACCACGCTAGGCTAATTTTTGTATTTTTAGTAGAGATGGGGTTTTACCATGTTGGCCAGGCTAGTCTCAAACTCCTCACCTCAAGTGATCTGCCTGTCTTGGCCTCCCAAGAAACCGCAGTTACAGTGTGAGTCCAGTATTTAGTCTTTGTAGCAAGAGGATAGTTTCTAAAATAGCAGTTCTCAAAAAGTGATCTTCAAGAAGTGGATCTTTAGGAGTCTCCAAGATCCTGTTAGAGGATCTGCAATGACAAAACTGTTTTCTGAGTTGTATGAGGACGTTGTTTGTCCTCTTTACAATGTAGACATTTGCTCTGATAGTGCAAAGTAAGCATGAATCCCAGCAGTGGGACAACACCAAATCAATAGTAACTGCATCCTTCTCCACCATGCACTTTCAGTAAAAACAAACACAAAGTGTCACTGAAGAATGTCCCCTGTGAAGCAGTCATGCCCCTCAGAGTGGGAAATGCACAGAAACACTCCTGCTGCATCCCAAGGATAATGGTTGCTGAAGGTCATGTCCTTCAGCAATGGTCTGCAGTGCACAAGCTGCTGCTCCTTTTAATGGAATGCCATTTTTACTTGAAAGCAGACTGACAAACTCAGATTTGGGTATTTAGTAGACATTTCCTCCAAAATGAATGACATGAGCTTGTCACTTCAAGAAAAAAAAAATTGGACTAATATAGTGACATAAAGCACCTAAATCCCTTGGAATTTCCTGGGTCTTTTATTCTAGTGAATCAACTCTTGCTGGGCCCCTAGACAGTTTCAGATGGGGCCTGGTCACTGGAAAAACTAGGCCTTGTGTAGAAGCCTGGAACTTTCAGCCCTATACCCCATCCTCTAGGGAGACGAGAGGGGCTGGAGATTAAGTTAATAATGGATCATATCTGCATGATGAAGCCTCCATGAAAACCCCTAGACCACACAGTTCAGAGAGTTTCCAGGTTGGTGAACACATTCAGATGCTGGGAGAGTAGTGACACGCCACTTCCAGCAACAGCATGGAAGTCTGCACCCTTTCCACTTAATTTGCCCCATGCATTTCTGCCATCTGGCTGTTCCTGAGTTGTATTCTTTATAATAAACCCATAATAGGACATAAACTGTCTTCCCAAGTTCTGTGAGCTATTCTATCAAATTACCAAAACAGGAGGGAGGGAGTCATGGAACCCCCAATTTATAGCCAAGCTGGAGAGAAGTGGGGGTGACCTGGGGACCCAGTTCTTAAAACTGGCATCTGAAGTGATGGAAGTCTTCTGAGACTGAGTCCTGAACCTGTGGGGTCTGACTCTAACTCCAGGTAGTTAGTGCCAGGGTTAAAGTGAATTATAAGACACCAACTGGTGTGTGGAGAATCAGAGAAATGGTTGTTGGTGTTGGAAAACATACAAAACTGATGAATTTTAATGTCACCGAATATAAAATATTCATTGATAGGGTTTTGGATTTCTCGTAAGTATAGATGGATATAGTCCAGATTAACAAAAGCTCTTTGTGTTCCTTGATACTTTTTAAGAATATAAATGGGTTCTCAGGCCAAAATGAAAACTTCTGTTCTCAAAGAAACCCAAATTCTTCATAGTAAAGGGAAAATATACCAGGTTCTTTAACAACCCCCTACTCTCAACCCACCCACCATGAAGTGAATATTTCTAAAGTCAAGGCTGGAAGTAGCTGTGCTTGAGGTGATAATGGGGAATGACACAAGTTAACTGCCAACCAAGACCTACTGCCATCTGTTTTGAACCAAACCAACGCACTTCCTGAAAGTGGAATAATAGAACAGATGCATCTAGGAAAAAACAAGATGCCTCTTACAGGGATGGGATTATGTGGAGAACCATCTCCCACAGGTAGGAATTTCTCAGTTTCCTTGAGCATTCTATGAAGATTTGACCAATCTTCCCTATTCTTCATTTTGGGTTGAACATGTATGAACTCAGCGTCCTTTTGTGCTAGGTGCTAGAATCTGATATTGTTTTCCCTCTGGCCTCTTCCCCAGCTCCTTCTGCCACAGAGAAGCTCCTGCCATTTCTGTGTCAGCCAGGGGAGGGGACAATTCCTAGAATCCTGGCTCTCTTAGTCCTGAACTCTCCTCTCAGTATGCACAGTGGCTACCGGTCACTCAGGCTTTCTTGGGGTTCCTTTAAGAAGTGGGTTTGGAAATGACTTCTTGGCCATTCTTGGCAGTAAAGGGAATAGAAAATTGCAGAGGATACATATCCTGGTTCCTTTGTCTGAGCACATTGAAAATTTCCATTTGGCTTTCTTGGTGGGTATAGCAAAACTTACCAGAGTTTAAATGAAACTCTGTCCAGGATAAAGCTGCAGGAGAACTGTAGTGGCCACAGGCATTTCTGTGTTGTACCATAACTGAGAAATGTTCAGCCAGAGGGGGCTCTTTTCAGTAGACGGAGAGTTAGAGGCAGGGATTACAAACCTGCACAAGTTGATTTCCCTTTCCTATTTATAGATGGCAATGCAGTTCAAAGACTTTATGTTTTTAACTAGGAGAAGGTTGAATGAAACAAGCTGGATTCCATGCTCTAGTCCTTGGCAACCTTTGGTGTGTTTATTATGGTCTTAATGGGGAGCTGTTTTGCCTTGTTAAGAACTTCTAGATTATCTAAAACATAATAGGGCTGCACATTTGGAAAAATTCAACAAGAGGAATTATTTTGTATTTTAAGCCGAAGAGACATTTTCAATACCTACACTTAATTTTTATTTTCCATAGAGATGAGGTTTTGCTTTGTTGCCCAGGCTGACCTTGAACAGCTGGCCTCCAGCCATCTTCCTGCCTTGGCTTCCCAAAGTGCTGAGATTACAGGAGTGAGCCACCATGCCCTGCCAAGACCTACATTTTAAATTCCTGAAAATATATTTTAAACCTTACCAAAATGGGAAAATTTTAGGAAGTGCTGAATTCTTGAGGTGAGATCACATACAACTCCCACTGACAAGTTAGGCTGCATTCCCAATGTAAATGGCTAAGGATACAAAATTATGCTTTAAGTAAGGTGACACTACAGAGTTGGTTTGGGGATGCAACTGCGTTCTGGCCAATGAGATGTGCACAGATGTGATCTAAGCCACCCATAGGGCTCACCCTTAAGAACATGCCTGTGATCCTGAAGTTTTCTTTCTCTGATGTGTGCCATGTGTTCTAGAAGGCGGATGCACAAGATGAAAGCAGCTCTGATCCCAGCATCACCATTTGGAGGAAAGTTGCATTATTCTCATGGAATGTGATGAGCAGGTAGTTGATACCTGTTGTTTTAAGCCAAGGATAGTTCAGGACATATGATTTACATAGCACAGCCTGCCTTAATACAGCATGCC